TTCGCTATGCTCGCGCCGCTCGACGCACTGGGCCACAACTATGGCGTCTATACTGTCACCGACCAGAGCCCGCGGCTGGCCAAGGAGATTGCCATCGGCCGCTGCTTCGACGGCTCCTCCGACGGCTTCTCCCGGGAAATGAAGGCAGATGCGGGCACAGCTGTCACCTTCCAGTGCCGTGAACCCCGTGCCAGACCCAGCCTCTTCCAGCGGCTGCTGGAGAACCCAGAATCGGCGCTTGGTGACATCCGTAGGGAGATGGGTCAGGCCAACCGCGATTCCCGGCTTGCCCAAACCCAGGCCGGAAATACCGACCCCTTCGGTCTGCCCCCCGGACAGTGATCTGGTTCACCACCTCGCTTCTCTGCCTTGCTTTAGACTCTGGCGTCTTCAGAAAGCCTTGCCCCGTTTTGTCCCCAGGCTTCTGGGTCCCCTTTCCCCTTTCCTGCCCGGAATTTGGTCAAGACAAAAACTGTGGGTGCTGATGAGAGTTTTGGGCAGACAGCTGTGGCTCTGTGATCAGAAAGAATGTTGGGCCGAGGACATGGTTGTCCGCCTGAGGCCTGGGCCTCACTCCAGCCTAGGCAGGCTCTGGCTCACTCCCATGCCCAGGCAGGCTCTGGCTCACTCCCATGCCCAGTCCTTGATTTGAAATCACTAGGTGGCAGCCTGTTTGTGAGCTTTGTGGGACTCCCTGCGCCAGCTTTGGTTCTGAGGTCATATTTATTGTTTCAGTGAGTGGGGATCCAGTTTGGCCCCATGGAATGTGAGGAAAGGGTGCTTTGGGGCCCCCCATGCAGTGGAAGCTGGCGCTGCAGGGTGGTGATTCCTTGGTGCTTGGGAACGCCCTCCACTTGGGGGCAGGTGCTATGGAGCTCAATTAAACACTGTATTCCTAACCTGTCGTGTCATCTGAAAAGGGAAGAGTCTGCATGGGGCAGAACACCACACTCTGGATTGTGGTCCCAGCAATGGGCACCTAAGGCAAGAGGATTCTGATATTATCCAGCCTGGGCCACAGAGCCAGCATGTCTCAGAAAACAAAACCCACCAAACAAGGCTTGGAGGCATAGAGTCCTTTGTGTCAGCAGGGACTCCCAAGTGGCATGGCACACCTGTGTCAGGTACCTGGCTGCAAAGGGGATGACTATGAGCCAAGGCCATGAGCAGGAAACAGTAACTCCATAACAGCCACTGGCTAGGCCTGGCTAGTGGTCCAGAAGGAAGGGCCCTGTTGGGGAAGCTCCTGGGGCAGGTAGTGGCCATTACCACCACTGCTGCCTTGGACTTCCTCAACATAGGCCACTATGCTGGCCTGGGCACCTTCATGTGGAGGCACAGCCATACCTTGGCCAACCATGGAAGCTACAGGCACTGTTGGCACCCTCCTGGCCTCGGGGTGATGGGAAGTCAGGGCACAGCAGAATCTGACCTGCTCAACTGCAGTGGGCAGGCAGGCGCACTCCACAGCACAGGGTGCTCATCATACCCCATTTCCAGAGAAACGGATGTGTGCCCCTGCAGCCCCAGCCTGGAGACAGTGGGGCCCTCGGAGAGGGTCGTTTGGTTTGAGGTCTCAAACTCACTATGTAGTAAAGGATGACCTTGAATTCCTGATCCTCCTGCCTCCATTTCCCAGTTCTGGGATGACAGATGTGTGACCCAGTTTATGTAGGGCAGGCCTGGAACTCAGGGCTTTGTGTATGCTAGGCAAGTACTTTACCAAGTGAGCCAAATCCCCAGCCCCAAGAAAGAGTCCTGTGCCTACCTAAGTTCCCGGAAGCAGGGTCCTGTCAGGGAGCGGGGCATGGAGTGCCTTGTCACCTAGGCCTACACAATCCCTTTATCACCCACCATGCAAGCTTTGGCAGCAGGTGATCAGCTGTGTGAGCTCATGAGGGATGGGCAACCGGCAAGCACACAGGACCCCTTTGGGGTCAGCTCTTGTGGACCCCAGTCCCCTCATATGGCAATCCTGCACATGTCTCCATCTCAGCTAACCCCCAGACTCTGCTTAGGCCTGGCCACTCATGAGCACCCCTGAGAAGCAAACCCCTCCTGGTGGGGCCATTTTCACCCACACCAAAACACTTTCCTGTACTCTGTGGGATGTGGCTCTGGAAGGGCCAGTAAAAAGATGGCAAGTCCAGATCCTGGCCTCTAAGGTGACCCCAGGGCTCTGCTCTTCCTGTAGATGACAGGAAGCTTAGAGTCCCGGTCACGCAGAGTAGTTGTCAGAGCTGCCTGGGGGAGTCCGAGGTTAACCCACCACAGCAGCTCCCCAGCAGCAGGAGGGGGAGCCTACTATGGAGTCCAGGCCCCTGATGAGGTGTCCGGCTCTCTTGCCAAATACCTCTCCTTGAGAAAGTGTTGGGCTTCTCTAGCTGCCAGCAGGGTTTTAGGGGGGTGACTGGCCTGGCCCTGGTCCCTTTGTTAGTGTGGGGTGGGGTCAGCTGGGTTGTGGACCTCCTCCCTCACTGCCTATTCACTAACAGGACAGCATTTGCCCCCAATTTCCTCATAAGGAAGTTGAGACTCCCAGGGAAGGGGGAGCTGCCCTGTGCTGGCTGCTGCTCTGCCTTCATTCTACCCTGGTGTTCAGACCCAGCCTCCCTCTTGGAACCTCAGCCATAGCTTCTGGTAAATCCATCACCTCCTCCACCCCCAGCAAGGCAGCCAGGACGCACCCCTTGGCTGGGGGGGGAGCAGGGAATCAGGGCCAAGACCCCCCAGAGACCCGGCTCCTGCCACCCTGAGGTCAGCTCGGGGCATAGGAGGCCCAATGTCCCACCCCTGACATTTTAGATTTTATAATTTTAGAACCAGGGGTTCTTAAAATTCCTCACAACTGTGGTAAAGAGAAAAATCTTGGACCAGTAAAACACTTAAAACAAGTCTGAAAACAGTGGAATCCAAGAGGAAGGATGGCAAGACAGATGAACACTGTGGGCCGCCAGGATGTGGCCCTGGAGACTAGACGTTTTAAGGGAGCTTAATGCATACATAGTGTGTTGGGGTCCCAAGCCTTGTTATAGGGAGAATGACTGGGCCCTGCTTCATAGCAGAAAGCCTCATCTGGTGTGGATACTGTGACCTGGGGGAGATGGTAACTGGGCATTTCTGTTTGTTTTTTTAGACAGGGCCTTGTGTAGATCAGGCTAACCTCAATTTCACTGTGCAGCCAAGGATAGCCTTCAACTTCTCAGTCTTCCTGTTTCTAGCCCAACCCTGCAGGATAGGTGTGAGCTAACATGCCCAGCTAGGAACTGGGTCTTGAAGGATGTGTAAGAGTTTGGCAAGGAGGTGAGGCAGGAAGGGCACAGCAGCTAGCTGGAGCAACACGTTCAAAATCTGGAGGGACAAGAGTGCAAGAGACACAGAGGGAGGGCAGCAGTTTCTAGAGCAAGAGACCTCTAGAGGTCAACGTTCTCCTCCCTCCCTTCCTCCCTCCCTGTGCATTTTGTGCATGTGTGGTCATGTTTATATCACAGCAAAAGTATGGAGGTCAGCGGACAGCTTTGTTGAGTTGCTTTTCTCTTTCCTCCTTCATGTGGGTCCCAGAGGTTGAAGTCAGGTCCTCAGGTGCCTTTACCTGCTGAGCCATCTTGCTGGCCCAGCCTACCTTATACATTTCTCAGGACAGACTCCTACTCCTGCAGCCCCCATGAGCTGTTTCTCTTTTAGGACAGGTTCTCTGGGGTCTGTTCTCACTACATGGCCCAGCACTCTTTCCCAGCTCAGTCCTGGTAGAGCATCTTTGGCTCTCCTGTAGTGGCCTTGTGGGCCTGGCACAGCCACCCACCACTCCCCTACCACCGCTCCCCTCATTCTCAGGGATGGGCCTGGCAGACACCAGCTCCAGTTAGTGCAGGTGCAGGGACACTACTGTGGGATGGTGCCTTGGATGGAAACAGGGACCAAGCCCAGGCCCCAGATGGGGGCATTAGCAGGTCATCAGGAGGGGACCAGCATGGAGAGAGGGGACTCTCAGTTGTTGGACAGAGACATGGGGAGACAGACATGTCCTCACCCAGGGCCACTGTCCAGGACATAGAGCCAATGTGTCAGTCAGAGCCAACATGCCTGACTGTCATCAGGCCTGAGGTCAGGCTTTCCTGACCACACCCGATCTCTGTCCCTTACAGTCAGATACCCCCCCCCCAAGAACCTTCTGGACACCTAACTAGTGTCTATCATCCTATCATCCTAGGACACCTATGGATGCACTAGGCAGGACACTGCCACCTCTGTGGGGCCCCATGCCTGGAGGCCACACCATACCCACCTGTGCCTGTGTGCCCCACAGTTACCTCAGCTTAGGATGTTGGGGACTGGTGACTTCAGGGTCTTTTCTGAAGCCTACATAATTGTCCTACAGAGTCCAGCTGCCTACAGCTGGGTGCACTGAGCACACCCCACCCTCTTGAAGCCCAAGTGGGCTAGTGGACCCTGGCCTCCAAGATCCCAACTGCTTCTGCAGTGGAGGCCTGATTCCCTCCCTATGCTGACTCAGCCCCGGAGAGGCGGCACCGCCAAACCTCAGCTATGTCCTCAAAGGCTGCCTGGCCCCAGACAGGGCTGGAGCACGGCTGAGCCAGGCTGAGGACCAGCCAGGCAGAGGTGAGGCCTTCTTCCTGCCTGAGGGCTTCTGGAGACGTGAGCTCGCAGAGGGCCAGCCTGTCCCAGTCTGCATCATGAAGCATATAGGCTAGCCCACAGTCTTGTGAGGGTCCTGTGTGGAACACAGATATACAAAGGCACACACACAGGGCACACCCTACTTCTGAGATAGCTACATGTAGAGTTGTGCCTAGATAATGACCCCTAGGAACTGCAGTTAGAAAGTCAAGGCAAAACGGGCACAAAACCTCCTTCTTGTAGGGTCAGGGTCTGGAGGACATGGAGTTTTCAATATGGGCTTTCAAGGGTTTAAAGACTGAAAGTCTTAAATTTAGTTTTTCTTCTGTTTGCTGGGGTTTATAGGGGTGAAGGTGAAGTCTGATCCACAACTCTGAGCTGTAGGTTTATCCTCTGCCCCCAGGAGCTTCAGGTCTGGAGCATGAGGCTCAGCAGACTGCAGGGGCACATGGCTGTGACCTTAGTGCTTGAGCCGGGGCTTGACTGGGTTCGGCCTTGCCAACACTTGAACATAAGCCGTTCACTGCCTGTTTGCACACCAACGGGGACAGGTTTTGTATGGAGCTCAGGCTGTCCTGGAACTAGAGCCTTCTGCTTCAGCCCCACCATTGTGGGATTAAAGGTGTGTGTGTGTGTATGTCCTAATAGATCCCTCTTCTCAGCTGGGGACCTGTGGCTGGGACAGCTGGGACACAGAATCCAGTCACAGACAAGTGGGCCTGTTACACACAACCCAGGTCTGCACCTTCAGCAGTGACTACCACCCCATTCCAAACTGACTCTAAGGGCTACAAGCCAAGCCCAGCACGTTGGCACATGCCTGTCATCTCAGCCTGTGAGAGGTGGAGGCAGCAGGAATTCTCTATCATTCTCTACTATGTGGTGAGTTCGAGGTCAGCCAGAGCTATCTAGAGAGACCCTGTCTCAAAACAAAAACAACAAAGAAAAGGAAATAACAGCTAAGTAGCTGTAACAAGGGCTTCTCGTGGGAGGAGCGCATGCTTCAGGCTGGGCAGCCAGACCTTCTGGGAGGCCAGGGCCCCCGGCCTGGCCCTGCTACTGTCTGGCCAGGCTGAACACAAACACGAAGTGGCTAGCCCTACAGAATCTAGGTTGTGGTCAGGCTGTGGCTGAAGAAGCTGCTGGAAAAACACGAGTCCCACGCGGCCAGGCCCACTTTCATCCGGCAGGAGCGGCTGCCTGGCGCCCGGCACTGAGGAATGTCGCTGGCAGGCCACCTGCTGCTGGGTGGGGGCAGCTATAGCAGGCCTGATACTGGCGACCTGGGTGTCCTGGGAGAACAGGTCGAGCACCCCGCTCCCACCCCAACCCCATCTACTTGCATCACCCTGCTGCCGAGGGACTCATCCCTTTGTAGTCCGAGTCCCCTTCCCCCAGGAAGCGCTGGCTCGCTGGCCTTAGGGCAGGAAGGGCAGTTCTGCCTCCATGTTCCCGGTTCCTGGAACACCTGGGCCTTTGCTAGTCCCCAGCCCCTTGGGCTCAGCCCAACAGTCGTGCTTTACAGTTATCATCTGTGTGTTGGATGCTGACCTCTCGGAAGGCTGTTCTTGTGACGTCCCCACGTTACAGATAGAGAAACTGAGGCTCAGAGGTTTCCTTTCAATCTGTTTAGATGGTTGGTGGAGTCTGGCGGCAGGATTTAGTTTTTTTTAGGTTGACTGCTCCCCCTTGTGGCTAAAGAGATAACTGCAACCTGTTCGAGGTCCCCTATGGTCCCTCCTGCTTTTGGTTGATTCTGGTCACTCTCTCTCTCACCCTGTCATCCGCCATGGCAGCAGGGGGCTTGAATGCACCCACGATGTCATCATGGAAATTCTTGAAGGTAAAACCTGCCCTCTCCAGTAAGACCCAGGCCCTATCCCTACTCATTCCTGGCGTCTCAGTTTCGTTAGCAGGACTGATTGTCTGGGTAACATGCCAAGAAAATGTGGTGGAGGAAGAGAGTGGGAGTCCTGAACTTTGACCCCTTCCCTCAGCCAGCCCTGCTTATTATCCCCTGCGACTTGAGGGTGGTCAGGGAGGGGATCCTTGGGGACTCCAGAGTATGCTTGGGGAACTGGGAAAGAAAGCTGCTGTCCTAATTCCATCCACTGGAGATTGCTGGAGGCCTGTGTGGGTGGAAGTTCCTGAGCTAATCCCACAAGGAATGCAGGTCATCCTTCTCAATTTTGTCATGCAGCTCCTGTCTCCCAAAATCCTCTTCTGTTATGTTTCTATAATTTGCATGATCCCACCCATTTGCATTAAATTTGCACCTTATTTGCATGACTCTTCTTCAATCTCCCTTCCTTGAGCCAGTTTTCCTGAGAAATCCTCACTCAGTTAGTTCTCCATTCAAAGGCCAAGAAAACTTATGATCTGGGTAGGGCTCACAGGGACTGTGGGAGTCTCAAAGTGAGGTGGTCAACAGCTTTAGGATGATGCTGGCTTTTGCCAGGTCTGTGCAGGCAACACTCTTCTCCACCTGTTCGTGTGCTCAGCTCACCCAGAGAAGTTTCCAGAATCTGAAGTTTTTTCCATGCAGCTCAAGAGTAGCTGGGAAGGTGTTCAATCCAAGGCTGTGCACCCAAAGGGTATGAAGGGGACAGTGATCAGTGACAGTGACCACTGCCTTCAGCAGCCCTGCACCTCAGCTGGGGTGTCTCCTAAGGTACCTTCCTCTATGGTGTTGCTCAGCTGTGAACAAGAATGAGGCTCTGGGAATTGGAAGGATATCTCAGTAGTTACGAACACTGGCTGAAGCCAGGTGGGGCAGTGGTGGCGCACATCTTTGATCCCAGCACTCATGGGGCAGAGGCAGGTGGATCTCTGAGTTCAAGGCCAGCCCGGTCTCCAGAGTGAGTTCCAGGACAGCCAGGACTACACATAGAAACCGTGTCTGCAACCCCCCCCAAAAAAATTAAAAAGACACTCTGATCCATTCTACAATGCAGCAAAACTAAAAAATACCAGTGACAGGGCTAGATATAGACGGCCACGTGGAGTGTGTGGCTCACTGACACTTAATAGCAGGTGAGTCCAGGTGAGTGGCTACCAGGCGTTGGGGAAGTGGGTGGGGAGACACTGGCATCCTTTGGTGGATGACAGTGTTCTGTCACTACAGGTGACAGCTGAAAGCCACTTCTCAGCCCCCAGAATCAGCAGGGTCACATGTGCAGATAAGTGGCAGAGTGCAGCTGCCTGGGTCCCAGAGACAGGATGGTTCCCATTTGCCATGGGCTTTTCCCAGGATGTTGTCACTGTTGTGATGGTGGCTGACAGGGTGGGGTCAGGGCCACGGGGATACTGGTAGGTGGCTCTCAGATGAAGGCTGAGAGGAGGCCCCTTAGCTGCCGCTGAGGGGACAAGGCCTCACATGGTGGGAACGCGGCCTCACAGCCCCTTTTAGCTGAAACAAATACTGAACCAGTTCCGAATCAAAGCAGGGGCCAGGAGGGTTAGAGCTGGTGACGGAATCTAGGTTGTCACCTATCACCCAGACAAGCCTGGAGTGAAAACACTGGAATGCAGACAAGTCAAACACTTTAATAAGGTGCTCAGAACAAAGCCCTAGATGAACAATCCACTGTCAACCAACATACTGTTGTTTAAAAATCACTCCAAGGTAGGTACGTAAGTGGCCAGGAAAAGGGTATTGCCACAGCCAGGGTTTCTGAGGTAATTGGCAGGACACAGGGCCAGTCATCCATGGCACTCAACCAGGTACCCAAAACTTAATTAGACACATCTGAGTTGAAGCTTCCAGAGTCTCCAGCAGGTGATGAGGGTGGCTGTGGGGCGGTGGCTCTCTGCCAGCTGCTGTGGGTCTGGAAAGACAGAGTGTGAACATAGGTGATCAGCCAGTCCCTGTGTCCCCAGGGTTACTCACAACTTTCTAGCAGATGAGTCTCAGAAAGAGCTGGCTGAGCAGTGGGGTGAAGGGGGCTACTGAGCCCCTAACCCTCCATGAAATACCTAACAGTGTGTCAGAACCAAGAGTCTAGCCACAGTGGCCTATGGAACAGCCATGGCTCATGGACAAGAGCCCTTCCTCACAGGCAGCCTCCTTCCTGTCTGTAGTGTGCATGGGCACAGTGCACATTGGAGCTGCTCTGCCCATCTGTCTGAGGACAGCTGGACGAGCGTGCTGAGCTCAGGGAACACTTGTACCAAGCAGAGCAGTGTGGCTGAGGTTCTATGAGTGAGGCCATGCAGGCATGCGCAGAAGCACCCACGTAACGGACAGTGGCCATGCAGGCAGAGTGACCTTTAAGAAGAGCCAGGTGAACAGAGGGACAGAAATGTTGGCTTGGAAATCTCAGCCCTCAGGAGAAAGAGGCAGGAGGCCTCTGTGAATTTGAGGCTAGCCTGGTCTACATAGTGAGTTCCAGGACAGCCAGGGCTACATAGAGACCCTGTCTCAAAAAAGCAAACAAGCAAACAAACAAAAAAAGGGTTTGTTTGGATCACATTTTAGCTGAAAATTAATGGAGGTGCAGGTGGGGTGCCTGCAGGGTGTGGCATCACCCCAGGTCTGACCCTCCATCTGCTCTGTGCTGTCCAGGGCAGGCAGCCTGTTGCCTCCCTCCAGTTTCTCCCCTACCCCTGCTGGTTCTGTTCCAGAGCACCTCAGCTCCAGGTATGTGAGAAGCAGGCCCAGACTACTTTGCAGCCTGTAGATTGTGTCAGGCTGGGTCTCACAGTGATGGCAGGCAGGGCCAGAGTGAGCCAGGCCCACCACTGTCCTGAGCCCCAGGTCTGGTTCAGAGGGGGCTTCTGGGAATCCCATGGGACTCATGGGGCCATGGCCAGTGCCACCATGCCAGGCTTCATTCTGTTTATGCAGTGCCCTCACAGGCCTTTCAGAGGAGGCTCAGGACAGACTGGGAGGTCACAGGACCTACAAAGGATTCAGATGATACCCTGAGAAATCTCTAGAGGTAGCTTGGCTGTTTAGACCCCAGTGACGAAACCCCAGTCTGGCAGCTGCTGCCCTTTCAGGGTGAGACGCCCTCTCCCATGTCTCCAGTCCCCAGTGACAGATGGCTCTGAGTCCAGAGGCTAACCACTCTCCTTCTCTGGAGACTCAGCATCAGGGTTCCTCTACTTTCCCAAAGCCCTAGAGGGGTCCCTAGGTGGCTGCAGCTGACTCACCGGGGGCTGGAGGCAGACTCCCCCAGGTGGGGGCTGGAGGAAGGCCAGGGTCCGAAGGGTGAGAACCATGTCACCTCCACTGGTCAGGGGGAAGGGGCCACAGGAACCTGTGAGGAGTGGGTGGAGTCAGGTTGGCATGGTGGGGGTGGAGGGTGTGAGTCACTGCAGAAGCTGGGCCAGCAGTCACAGGGATTTCTGGGTGGCAACTGCCCAGTCCCTCATTAAAAGGGACTCTAGAGCTGACTCCCTAAAGCATGTAGCCACCTGCTCTTCCCCTAGCCCTGTGTGGGTGACGCTGGCCCGTGAGGCTAAGGTGATGCTCTTGTCCCTCTGCTGGCACTGGCTGTCTAGGTCCGGGTAGTGTGAGTCAACCAAACCCCCAAAGCTTACAATTATGGAGGCCATGGCCTTGTCACCTGGGCTGGGTGTGGACTGGCAGCTGCTCTGGCCCCCTGAACCCCGGACTTTGGTGGCCGTAGATGTCTTCTCAGTGTACATGGTGGCCTCTTCCTGGAACTTCCCCGTGTTCTTTTTGTATCGGATTCTCTTGTTGCCGAACCAGTTAGAGACCTGTGGACAGATGCACAGACAATGGATGCAGTCCTGGTGTGGGCATGCTTGCTAGGTGGTGGTGGCACACTCCTTCCAGGCAGAGGCAGGGTGATCTCTGTGAGTTCCAGGCCAGCCTGGTCTACAGGGTGAGATCCAGGACAGCCAGGGCTACACAGAGAAACCCTGTCTCGGAAAAAAACAAAACAAAAAAACAAAAACCCAAAACAAAACAAAACAAAAAAAGAGGATGGGACTGCAGAGAAGGCTTACTAGATAAAGGGGCTTGCTGCCAAGTCTGTGGCCCGAATTCAATTCCTAGGAGCCACATGGAGGAAGTAGAGAAACACGTTGTCTTCTGATTTCCACATTCCTTCAGTGACAGGCACCACACACAGTGATAGGGACATGGATTAATGCATGGAGTGTGCACACACACACAAATAAGAAATACATAAATATAAAACATAAATACATAAATATAAAAAATAACCACCACTAAAATAAAAGACACTGGGCTTGATGGCTCACACCTGCTACCCTAGAGTGGGGGGCTGAAGCAGGAGGATTACTGTGAACTCAAGGTCATGCTGGGCAACACAGTAAGTTCCAGGTCAGCCTGAGCTAGGTGAGACCTGGCTTAAAACCCCACCTAACCTAACTGAAAAAAACAGGAAGAAGGCCCCAAAAACTCTGGCTCTCTGTTCTGCAAGGAGGGCAGCCACCTTCCTTGCAGACCTGGATGATGCTGAGGCCACTCTCCACCAGGCGTGTGTACTACTCTGAGATTTTTCCATTTTATGTGCATGGGTGCTCTGCGTGTGTGTGTGTGTGTGTGTGTGTGTGTGTGTGTGTAGCATGTGCATGTCTGGTGCCCCTAGAGATGGAAGAGGGCACTGGGTGCCTGGGCCTAGACTTAAAGATAGTTGAGAGCTGCCATGTTGCCATCGGTCTCTCCAGCCCCACTTCACTACCACGGCTTTCTGTTCCCCCACTCCCTCTTCCTTTCCTTCACTCTTCTTCCTCCTTCTCTTCTTTTCCCAGACAGGGTTTCTCTGTGTAGCTCTGGCTGGCCTTGAACTCACAGAGCTCCGCCTGCCTCTGCCTCCAGAGCGCTGGGATTAAAGGCTGCATCACCAGGCCCAGCCCCAAGTTTCTCTTTCAAGATGAGGATCTGGCTGTTGCCCAGCTCCACTGGGATGCCTAGTTCCAGTACTTTCCTGCACAGCTGGGACACGGGCTACTTCCTGTGCATTGCCCCGGACAAGAGCAGAGTTTGTGTGTGGATGATGTGTCCAGGTTTGGACAGTGCTGAGTGGGAACCCAGGACACAGGGAGACCCCACCTCACTGCAGGTGGGGCTCTGGCATCAGTTCTAGGGTAGGGTCTGGCTCACTGGGACCCCTTTGGAGCCCCACCCTTCCCTCAGCCTGATGTGGGGCTGATCGTGACCCTGGCATCAACAGAAAGAAGTGCCTCCTACCCTACAGTGTTTCCTTCCTCTTGACTTCCCCTGAGGTGGCCCTCACAGCCTACTCACCTGCACCCCAAATTCAGAACCTCACTTCATTCAACTAATAGCTGACCACTTTAGTGGATGAGACAAGGTAGGGTGGAGCCGCTAACATAGAACTCAGTTGTTGCTGGGGATGGCCTCAGGGCCCAGATCACCCAAAAGGAGAGCCCTTGGAATGTGGCAAGGCCTTTAAAACTTGTTGACCTTGCTCCCTGGAGGACCTGGCATCAGAAACAGGGGGTCAGGGGTAAGGGTGTGGGGGGTAGGTGTAGGGGAAGCTGTAGCCACGCCTTCTTAGGGGCTGGCTACAGGAGTACCTGAGGGCTTGTGAGGGTGTGGTCAGAGTGAGTAGGGGGACTGCGTTTTCGGTTTCGGTTTCTCTTTGCTGCTTGCTGTACAGACTACCACCGGCTGGCTGGTTCGCTCTGTAAGTAAGGCTTTTCCCTATTAAATACCCTTATATTTCTACCTGACTCCGTATTGGTAATTTCCCACTATAGGTAGGGGCATGGGGGAGTAGGATGGGGTGAATCTGCTTGTTCTGCACACTGTCTGTGGGGTTTGAATAGGAATGGTCCCCATACACTCATGTGCTTGAATGACTGGCCCATAGGGTGTGACATTATTAGGAGGTGTGGTCTTGGAGGAAGTGTGTCATTGTGGGTGGCTCTGAAGTCTCAGATGCTCAAGCCAGGCCCAGTGTGGTATTCACTTCTGCTGCCTGTGGATCCAGATGCAGAACTCTCGGCTCCGTCTCCAGCATCGTGTCTGCCTGCACTCTGCCATGCTTCTTGCCATGATGAATGAAATGGACTAAATCTCTGGACTGTGAGTAAGCCCCAGTGAAATGTTTTCCCTTGTAAGAGTTGCCGCGGTAGTCATGGTGTCTCTTCACAGCTCTGATGGCACCACAGCAGCTCCCTGAAGAAGAGGAAGTTGTGCCTGGGTCCCCTGCATGACTCAGCTCTGTCACAGAGACACATTTCCAGAAGCCTCGGCTACGGGCTGAGGATGATCCCAAAAGGGGTACACAGCTTTTCCAATGTGCAGCAAGGAGGAACAGGGCATGTCAGAGAGCCTGTGGTGTCCATCACTTCTGTGTGACAGGCAGTGTGACCTGAGACCACAGTCATACTACCCTCACTGCTTGCTCAAGTGGTCTGGCCTGCCTGCTGCCTGAACTGACCGGGCTTACCTTCAAGCCTTCAGGAATGTTCTCTTGGCACTCTGGCCTTTGCTCACTCTCTCCTTTGCTCCAATTCCAAGAAAGACAAAGGTGATCAACGGTCAGGAGTCTCACTCCACCACATAGCCCAAGGGAACCCCAGCCACACATTGCTCCGTCAGCAACCACAGGGCTCCATGGAGCCTCTACCACCAGTCTCCTAGAGCTCCCAGAAGTACCCGAGCCAGCCTCCACACCTTGCCATGAGCTCTCACATTTTTCTTCCAGGAAAGGGAGCAGAGTCACCACCAGTGTTCTAATTCACAGTGCAAGCTGGGATCTGAGCTGTGCCAGTTGACACACAGGGCCAGCACCAAATATTAAGTAACTTCCCCAGGAGTCCTCCCTCCACGTTAGGTAACTTCCCCAGGAGTCCTCCCTACACATTAGGTAATGTCCTCATCAGACTTCACTTCTGCCAGGTGGTGGTGGCGCACGCCTTTAATCCCAGCACTTGGGAGGCAGGGGCAGGCCTCTGGTGAGTTCAAGGCCAGCCTGGTCTACAGAGTGAGTGCCAGGACAGGCTCCAAAGCTACACAGAGAAACCCTGTCTCAAAAAAACAAAACAAAACAAAACAAAACAACAACAACAACAACAACAACAAAAGACCTCACTTTTCCCAGGGGCAGGGGCAGGAAGGCTCACCTGGGACACAGTGATGCCACCCTTCCTGGCCAGCTCTTCTTTGGTCTCTTCACTGGGGTAAGGATTGCTCAAATGGGAATAGAAATACTCGTTCAGCACTTCAGTGGCCTGCTTACTGAAATTCCGCCGCTTCCGCCTGCAGACAGAGACCTTCAGTCTGTGGTGTTTTCGTGATGAGACTCTAGTCACAGCTGTCACATCCATAATCTCCTCACAGTCTATGCGCGTGTGCATGTGCGCATGCCTGTCAAGGCCAGATGTTCATATCCTGTGTCCTCCTCTGTCACTCTACACTTGTGTCTTTGAGGCAAAGTCTCTCACTGAACCTGGAGCTCACTGATCTGGCCAGGCTGGCTGGCCACCAGGCTCCAGGGATCCACCTGTCTCCACATTCCCAGTGCCTGGTCACAGTAGTTTCTGGCTTTTTTTTTTTGTGTGTGTGTGTGTGTGTGTGTGTGTGTGTGTGTGTGTGTGTGTGTGTGCGCGTGCGCGCGCGCGCGCCGAGTATACACAGGTGCACGCATGGCATGGCAGGCAGAGGTCAGGGGACAACTTTCTTTCTGGCACTTGCTTCTCTCCATCTATTATGGATTCTGGTGTGGAAAGTCAGACCAATCCAGGAGTGTCTCAGAGGCCTTGATGAAAGGACAAAGGGAACAATAGTTCTGTGTCCTTGTCCAGGAGTGGACTTGACAAGGCCAGTCTGATGCTGGAGCCAGGGTCTGGGAGGAGTCAAGGTTGCAGCTCCTGGGGACCCCATCCTTCCCCCTGGGCTGTGGTGATCAGTGCTTCAGCAGCTGTTTGAGGTGTCCATGTCTTTGCCAACATTGTCTGCTTTAGCTCTCTGCTAACCCTGGACATTCCCCCTGCAAATAGTATACAGGGTGCTATACTACTTTTTTTTTTAACATTTTTTAAATTTACTTTTTATATTCCAGGATGCTATACTTTTTAATAAACCAGCTTGGTATAAATCGTCAGCTTATGCAAGGCCTCCTGGTCCCAGCTATTGCTTATTTATCCTCCCCTACCCTCCAACTGACACTCACCACTCAGGACCTGTATCCCTGCAGGTTCCGGTCATTCTGGGCATCAAATTCAGGTCTTGAGACTTTTGCAACAAGTTCAGTTTTACCCACTGAACCATCTTGCTGGCCCATGCCTGCTTTTATGTAGGCACTGTATATAAAACCAGGTCCTTCTGTGTGCATGGCAGGCACTTTACTGACTGAGCTGCCTCTCATTCCTGATCTGCAGTTTTTAAAACAGCAGTTAGGAGCTTGAGAGATGCCCCAGGGGGTAATGAACAATATAAGAGCCATGTATGTCAGTGCATGTCTGTGCTTGCAGGGCTCCTGTGGCAAGATGGGCAGCACACAGGAGAGCCCCCTGCAGCTAGTGGGCATCCAGCCACAGTGAAAAACAGCAGAGTGGGAGATGAAGACCAATACCCGAGGTTGTCTTCTAACAGCCACACTGTGTGCCATGGCACAGTCACCTGCCATTCACACACACATTAACACTCACCAGCAGTCAGTACTTTGGCTCTTCTCTCGAAGAGAAGGTGTGTGAGGCCTAGTTAGAGCGTCTGCATGGACTTAAGTCCAGGACAGGGCTGGGGGGGGGCACTCAGTAGCGGGGAGGCATGAGCCTAGTGCAAAGTCCCCGATTTAATCCTCAGCAACATAGAACAAGACAGACACCAGAGGTGGCACTGACCCCGCTTCTATTCCAGAGTCAACCCTTGGGGAACCCGGTGGCATGCAGCCCTGACCTGGCATCCAGGAGCCGTGAGCGCAGGGTCATGACAGCCTCACAGGTGCTCTGCTTCAGCTGCCTCTGGATAGCAGTGAACTTGCCATGGATCATGCCCACCATGTGCTCCATCTCCCTGGAGGACACAGGCCTCACCCTACTCTGTTCCCGGAGGAGGTTGGTGACGTGTGTGGTGAACTCACGGCAGGCCTGGGGTGGGAAAAGATGGGCCAGCCTGTGACTAAGCAGCCGGGTGAGGGCAGCGGGCTCCACACCCCCAGAGCTCACACGAGGGCAGCTTCTGAGAAGGGAAGGAAAAGGGCTTTCAGTGACAGCAGCCACCTCTGCAGGGACTGACTACAGCAGGCCGTCTCTGCTCTGCCGCAGAGGAGGGGGCAGCGTCCACATCCGGCTGTGGCCAGTGCACATTCACATGGGAAACTCTTGCGTGTAGAAAGATCACCTGTTCATACTTCTCTAGCTCAGAGTGGTAAATCTGTCGGATCTGGGACAGCTTGGCCCTGTAGTCTGAGTGCGCAATGCTAGTGTCATTTGGACAGCCACCTGGTGTTGCTGTGGTGCCTGCTGCTGCTCCTCGTCCTCTCTTCTCTGGCCTGGACACACCCTCAGCCAGCAGCATGTTATCCAGCCTCAGGAGCTGAGCGTCGGGAGGGTCCTCCTCCTGATGCTGCTGGATGCTCATGGCTAGATGGAAGAGACAGGCAGACTGGGATGTGTTCTCTGCAGAGAAAAATAGCCAGGACCAAGTGACACTGGCACCATAGCTGGGCATCATTTTAAAACATTTGTTATGTGTACATGTGTGTCTGGTTGTTGGTGTGTGTATGTGGTGATATTTTGTTTACGATCTAACAAATAAAGCTTGCCTGAAGATCAGAGTACAAAGCTAGCCACAGCCATAGAGGTCAGGCAGTGGTGGTGCACACCTTTAACCCCAGCACTCGGGAGACAGAGGAAGACAGCTCTCTGTTAGTTCTAGGACACCTGAGCTACACAAAAATCGATCCAGTCCAACAGAGAAACAGAACTTACACACACACACAAACAAAGGTGATCTCAGAACTTGGGATCCCAAGCCTTTAATCCCAGCACTAGAGAGGAATATAAGGTGGGAAGAGACAGGAGCTAAGTGTAATCTGAGGCTTGGTGGAGACAGATGCAGTCTGGAGAAGTCTGGGTTCAGTGGATTGCCCGCCCGTTCTGTCCAAGCATTGGTAGAGGTGAGAACTCTCTAGTGGCTAGCCACTTCGTTTCTCTCATCTTCAGCTTTAACCTCAATATCTGTCTCTGGGCTTTTATTATTAATACCAATTAGAATTCATGGGACATGTGTATGTGTGAGTGCAGATGTCCTAGGAGTCCAGGTTGAAGGTGTCAGACTCCCTGGAATGGTGTCACTCGAAGTTGTGAGCTGCTCAGTATAGGTCCTCTGCAAGAGCAGGAAACACTTGGAGGCTCCAAATCATCTCTGTAGCCCCTTTAGTGCCACACTGGATCAGGGACACCTGGGAACCCACTGGGACACTGACCCAAATGTCATCTTCAGGAGCACAGGCCTGGTTGTGGAGAGGGTGCCAGGGCAGTGCAGCACATGTGGACAGAAGCCAACAGCCACATGGGAAGACAGACAGGGCTGGGTGGGTGTCTGGAAGTGCTGGGGAGGGTCCTGCTGGTGCTGGTGAACATAGAAAGGTAGCTGCAGGGCTGGCGAGAGGGCGCAGTAGGTAAAGGAGCTTGGGCCAAGCCTGATGGTTTGAGATCAATCCTGCAACTCGTCCTCTTATCTACATGGTTTCTCTCTCTGTCCTCCTCCAAAGGAAGAAAATGTGAAAAAGTATTAAAGATAAACAGCCTGTCACTGGGATCTGGCACAGTACTGCACTGATGCTCTGTGCCCACATGTCCGTGTCTGTGTGTGTGTGTGTGTGTGTGTGTGTGCGCGCGCGCGTGTGCGTGTGCGTGTGCGTGTGTGTGGAAGGTAGTGCTCCTATAGAGCAGAAAAGGAAATGCTTGATCCAGGCACTAGAGAGTTGGCTCCTGTCTGTAATTCCTACACTGCACATACATGGTGCAGACATACATCGAGGAAAATACCAATATACATAAAAAATAAGCCAGGCGTAGTGGCTCACACCTTTAATCCAAGCACTCAGAGGCAGTGGCAGGCAGATCTCTGTGAGTTCAAGGCCAGCCTGGTCTACAGAGTGAGTGCCAGGACAACCAGAACTACCCTGTCTTGAAAAACAAACAAACTAGCAAACAAATAGGGTTGCAGAGATTGCTCAGCTCTTACAGAGGTCCCTGCTTCAGTTCCCAGCACCCACACTGCAGCTCACAACCATCTGTAAGTCCAGTTCTAGGGAATTCAATGCCCTCTTCTGGTTCCTTTGGGCACCAGACATACACAAGGTACACAGACACACATGTAGGCAAATGCCTCTCAGCTTAGAGACCTATGTCCTGTATCTCTCATTATGACACATCCTACCCTGGCTGGAAGGTCAGCTCCCGGCCAGTGGCTGTGGGCATCAGGTCAGGACTATGGAGAAGACTCTGTGAGTTGAGCCTTGGCCTTTTCCGGTGGAGTAGAACTCACACTCCCTTGCTCGCCTGCTGTCCCACACTGAAGTCCTGTAGCTGGGACCCATGGTGCCCCCAGCTTGCACTTTCCCCTTGCTGTGGCATCATGGCTACCCTGGGGTTGTCAAGTCAACTCACAGGGCGCTTCAACAACTCACTTTGCTTGAGTAAGAACCTGAACTCCACCCTGCCCCATCCTAATAACAAATGTGCCCCAGTTCAGCTCTCTGAGCTTGTGGGTGGAAGGCATATTAGCAATAACGTGTGGCTTAGACTCTGAGCCTGCCACCCCTCCAGGGGCAGGGTGAAGACAGGGTTACAGTGTTCAGGTCCTCTTATCTGCCCACAATGGAACAGGCCTCAGCCTCTCTGAATGGCTCAGACTGAGACGCCGAAGCACAGGACCCGAGCCTAACTGGTCCCTCTTTCAGCTCACAGAGGAAACACAGCCCGCAGAGACTGCAGTCATGAAAATATCTTCTTGTTTCTGGGTCTGCAGATGCTTGCAGGGGGGTGAGATAGGGTCTATTTGTGAGCTCAGGTTCACAAAATAGACTCGGTTGACCTTGAACTCCCAATCTGCCTGCCTCTCCTGTTTTGGGATCAGTCACATGCCTCCACACTTGGCCACTTCTGGATTTTTGAGGCAGGGCCTTGGCTTGTAATCCAGGTCAGTCTTGAACTCTCTTTAAGACAGGGTCTCTCTACCATGCAGCCCTGGCTGTCCTGGAACTCAGTATGTAGACCAGGCTGGCCTTGAACTCACAGAGATCCACCTGCCTCTGCCTCTCGACTGCAGGGATAAAAGGCGTGTGCCACTATGCCAGGCTGACCTTGATTTCTTTTTTTTTTTTTTAATTTTATTTATTTATTATGTATACAGTCTTCTGCCTGCATGCCAGCAGAGGGCACCAGATCTCATTCAAGGTGGTTGTGAGCCACCATGTGGTTTCTGGGAATTGAACTCAGGACCTCTGGAAGAACAGTCAGTGCTCTTAACTGCTGAGCCATCTTTCCAGCCCTGACCTTGATTTCTTGATCCCCCTGCTTCATTCTCTTCTTGAAGGCTGGATGGCCACACATGGCTCATGAGTGCCAGGCAAGCATTCTACAAGCTGAGCTACAGCTCCAGAAGCTTGTTCCACATAGTGAGGTCTATGCTGGCCAGGACTGTATAAGGAGACCCTGCCTCAAAACAATATTAAAACTAGGAGGTGATGGTGCCTACATTTAATCCCAGCACTCAGGAGGCTGAGACCTGTGGATCTCTGAGTTTGAGGCCAGCCTGGCCTACAGAGAAGTTTTAGGACAGCCAGGGCTACACAGAGAAACCCTGTCAATCAATTAAACAAATAAGCGACAAGCCCCAGAGGCTACATATCTGAGGACCTTTGGTGACAGGGACAACTTGTTGTGAGCAGTGGGCAGCTCACAAAGGGAGCAGAGAGGCATGGGTGGGGACAGCATGCCTCAGAATGTAATGTTGACACTGGCTGGCTATTAGGTACAAGGTGAAATAGACCAACACTGATGAGCACGTGGCTGTCAACTGTACCCAGAGGACAGCCATGTGGCCCTGCATGGGGTCGAGGAGATAAATCCTCCTAGCTCACAAGTCTTTGGGTTCATTTGCATATGGGGCTACCACACAGAGTCTGAAGCAGCAGTGTCAATAGTAGAGGAGGGTGGTCTGCTTGAAGCCAAGGCATTGTCAATAAACTTGTTGGGGTCCCTAAGAAAGCCTACCTTCCATGCTCCCATTTGCTGGGACCCACAGCATCTGCTGCTCAGAATTTAAATAAGAAACAGGTATGGGCTGAGGAGATGGCACACTTTGAAAACACGAGGACATGAGTTTGATTCCCAACAACCATGTAAAAAGCCAGGTACAGTCCCTGAAATCCCAACACTGGAGAGACAGACAGGAAGGGCCTGCTGGCTAGCCAGTCCAGCTCAGTCAGTGAGTCCCAGCTCCAGAGAGCCTTTGCCTCAAACTATAAAACGGAGAGTAAGAGAAGCAAGGGCCCATGTGACACCCACCTTTGGCTTCCCCATGTAAGTACAAGCACATCCACACACCACACAGGAAAGAAAGCTCAGGTAACATTTACACTGAGAGAGTGGAAGCTAAGCAGGGTGGTGAGGTGCCCACAAACACCCCTGAGGTCTGACAGTCCCTGGAAGCAGTAAGACCCAACAGCAATGACATGTCTGGGTGACGTCAGTGCTTCTCTGGACACAGGCGGTGCAGCTGGGCTGAGGGGAAGATGTCACACAGAGAACCTTCTGGCAGTGAAGAAGAAAACCTTCAGACGTCAAGAGACAGCAGGTCGCAGGCCAGCTCCAAGGGCTCCTACTACCCACGTCAACGTAAGTGACATCTGAAGCTGATCCTGACACAATGGGACTGAGACATGCTGAGCTGTATGGAGGCCACAGAGCAAGCAGCCATTCATCTGCTCACATGGGGTTCGGAGGCAAATGCCTTGCTTTGGGGACAGCTCTTTCAGGTGGGACTGTGCCAGGGCCCAGTGTGATAAGTACAGCTCTCATCTCTCAAAGAGAGAGAACACCCATCGAGGCGAGGGGGGCCCAGCCCAGCTGTACACAATCCACACCAAAGAACAAGGGGCACACTGTAAGAGCCACCAGACCAGGACATCTTCTTGTAGATCTGAGTAAGGACAGCACTAATAGACATGCTAACGTGAGTGGGGAAATCTCACAGGTCCCAACCCTAGGGAGAATAGGTAGGAAGACAGACAGACAGACAGACAGACAGACAGACAGACAGACGTCTTTCCCAGAGATGAGCTTCCTGATTGCTTATCCAGTGCCAAGTGTTCAGCCTAGCAAGCCTTCTCTTTCTTTTTCTCTGTGTGTAATAATGATTAAAAAGACGTCATGAATTTGAGAGGGAGGGAGTATATAGAAAGGGTTGGAGCAGAGTTTGGCCCCAAATAAACACACAGACATGATATTAATTATGAAACTGTTGGCCAGTAGCTAGGGCTTCTTATTGGCTAGCTGTGTCTTAATTCTTAACCCATTATTATTAATCTATAGATTTCCAGGTGGTCTTATCTTACAGGAGAACTCCTGGTGCATCCTATCTTACCAGTCTACCTTTCCCAGAATTC